CCTCAGGGGCTTCCAGGGCTCAGAGGCTGTGAAAGGAGGCTTCGAAGGGGAGGCAGAGGCTGGGGGAGATGACGAGAGCTGCCCCCAGCAACCTTCCTTCCACACGAGCACCCTGGCCTGGGCTGGACTCCGCCCTGAGCAGAGCTTGCTCCTGCCCACCCCAAAGTTTTGACAAACCGAGAGGCTCCCAGCACCCCTCCTGCCACCCCTCGTCCTGTCCTCAGGCTGCTCTGCGGCTTCTGTGAGTCACGCAGCTGTCTTGGTGTTTTACACCTGTCCTGTGCCCCAGTTCATCGGGAAGCAGTTTCCTCCATCGGACTGGGAAACCCCCAGGACAGGAGTGACACCTCCTCCATCAGATTGGGAGCTTCCCAAAGCAGAGGCTGCTTCTCCCCCATAAGACTGGAAGGGATCCGAGGTGGGGGCTGCAATTCCCGCTGGCTCTGTGAGGGCCTCCCCACATCCCCAAGCAGAGATGGAGAGAAGGTCTCTCCCTGTGTCCCTCTCTCTCGGGGCTACCTTCAGACCAGCACTCGGCTCTGTCCCATCCCCGTGGACCAGTCCATCTGACAGCTGCTCGAGAGCAGGAGGGCACGAGCCGGCCGGGAGCTGCTCCCCCCTGCCCACCTCCAGCCTGGCTCCATTTAATGAATGCGTTCCCATGTCCACTCTCCCCTCGCCCCCTCCTTGTGCAGGCTTCACCGAGAGGCGACCAGCTTTCGGCGCACGGAGGACTCAGCCCCAGCCGGCGGGGCCTCTCTGCAGCCGACTCCACCTAATCCTGTCGATTAATTGAACTCTGAGGCTAAAGGGTTCCCCGGGGTTGGGAAGGGGGAAGGGCACCCCCAGAGGGTAGGGGGTACAGGAAACTGGAGCAAGGGTGACGTGGTGGCACCAGGGCTCTTTGCATCCCTCCCCACACTGCTTTGGCCCTGTGCCCCCACCCCCTCTTGTCATCATCACTGTCATCATCATCATCATCAACATAATAATAATCATTCACGTGCTCTGTAAGTTCCAAGTTACTCCCACAGTCTTTATTTTATTCCACCCTCAAAGCCATCCAGTGAGGCATGCAAGGATGTGTTATTGTCCTCATTTCTACATCTGAGAAAACCGAGGTCCAGAGAGGGGAAGTGACTTGGCCAAGGCCACACAGTGAGGGATAGAACCCAGAATCCAGGTCTCAGGCTCCCCAGACCAGGACTCCCGACTTGACCCGGGCTGTCCCAGGGGCCCCTCACACTCCCCCAAATCTGTCCCGTCCTCCCATCCCTGTCCAGAAAGGGAGCATGGGTTTACTGGCTGTGTGGCCTCCATCAAGTGACTGAACCTCTCTGAGCCTCATTTTCCGTATTGTAAAAAGTCAATAGTCCCCACTTCACAGACCTGTCCTAAGACTGGCATGGAGAAGGCCCCTGGAATGTGGGTCTCTTCCCCTACACTGGGCCAAGGGGGTCAGTGGCAGCTCTTTTTCAGGGGGCTGAAATCACAGACTGCAATCCAGTTCCCCTGAGATCTGCCTGGACCTCGTGGGCAGAGGACAGAGCCTTGCTCTCCTGACTCAGCATCCCGGGGTTGTTATGGCAACGCCGAGCAGCCCAGAGGACCAGTGCAGATCCCTCAGACAGCAGAGACCGTGGGCCCTGCTTTGCCTCCCAGCCTGGGCTTCCATCTGGCCAGGTCTCTGGATCCGCACAGCTCCCCACACCCCTGCAGAATAAGGGGAGGGAGAGACGGGGGGAGTCGGACCCAGAACTCTGTGGCGGTGAGTCCAGAAAACTGCAGGTGATTTGGAGGACAGAGGGACCAGATGGGGCTAGCGAGGGCACCGAGGCCGTGGCCTTGGTGAAAGAAGTTTATCTCTCAGCAGACCTAAAGCAAATGTTGGTCATTTGCTAAGCGCATTCACGATTTTGATCATAACCCTAGAGCCTCTCCTATTATTCCTTAATATTTCATTTTATACAAAAGCACCTTTAAAAACCTAATGCAAGGAAACTAATCCTCTTATAAATGGAAAATAAGCATCACTTCCTGTAAATAGATAAGAAACATGAAAACAAATAACATAAAAACAAGCAATGCCGTTACATTCCACCTAGAGACTGCCAAGCGTGGGAGGCTCCAAGCTTGGGCCTGCCCTGCCTTTTTTAAGAGGGGAGAACAGCTGTGCTGATGAGGGTCTTGGACGGTGCCACGTGCCGCTGTGTACATTTGAATTCAAATTAAATACAATTTAAAACGAAGTTCTTTGGTTGCACCAGGCCATTTTCAAGTGCTCAATGCCACATGTGGCTGGTAATGCCATATTGAACAGCATGAATCTGGGACATTCCCATCATCACAGAAGGTTCTAGTGGGCAGCACTGCTCTAGAACTCCACTGAGACTTATGCTTCCTCCATCAGACTGGCCTCTCCCCGGGCAGGCGCTGTGTCTGCCCCCTTCTCTGACCTCGCAGCCCTGAGGACGATCTTGGCCCATAGATCTCACTCCCATAACCCTGGTCCCCCCCCACACACACTCAGCCCCTGCCTGAGCTCGAGTGTCCCCGCTGGAGGCACCGAGCCTGTGCCCCCTTCCCAGCCTCCTTCCCAGCCTCCTTCCCTGCCCGCCAGCGCCTGCTTCCTCCTCCTGAGGCCCCAGGGAGCTTGCTCTCCTTCTCACCATCAGAAAACTGAGGCGATGCAGTGAATTTCAGGAACCGAATCCTTGGGATGAGTCGCACTTGGCTCTGAGCACCAGACATGCTGGGGAAGGGGCCGCGGATGCCAGCTGTGCACACCGTGGTCTCTCAGTGACTGGGGGGCTGGGCAGCTGGCAGCGCCGGCCGGGAAAGGGCAGAGGCAGGGTTGGATCTGACCCCGGGTCTTGTCTTGGGGATGAGGCAGGCCACCATGAAGAGAGGACCCCTTGCCATTGGTCCCCTTGCGGTGGGGTGTGGCGTCTCAACTGGGGACAGCCTGGCAGTGGCCAGTAAAAAGCAGGGATGACCTCCCGATGGACAAGATAGCAGGGTTGGAGGGAGGGGCCTGGGGCAGATGGACATTGTCCAAGAGTGGATGACCTTCCAGGCGTATGACCTCCCACACTCCCAGTCCACCCACCAGGCTCGGGGCTGTGGGTGCAGCTCCACGGTGGAATCACCCGTCATGCCTTTCGACGCGCCCGGCCTTTGCACGTGCTCTTCCCTCTGGCAGCGATGCCTTTCCCTTCACCTCCACTTGACATTAGGAGGCTGTACTAGTTTTTGTTTTTATTGAATGGGGGGAGGGGGTTGTCCCTCGTGGGAGAGGCCTAGACCTAATCACGTAACCAACACTTGAAGCAACTGAGACAAACATGACTTTGTATTGGCGGAAGGGGTGGGCGGGACGAGGAATCTGAGCGCGTTTGCGTTTCACATTGCCGTTCTGTGACTCAGTTTCTCCCATCTGTCGTGTGGGCACATGGTGTGGCTCTTCCAGCTCGACTCAGGCCAAGTGCTGCAAGCACAGGGAACAGTCCTGCCCTGTCCTCCACGTACCTAGCCCCCCCAGGCACACAGCAGGTGCGCGACAGACGCTTTGGGGAATGAACGAATGAATGGCAAAAAATCAGAAGTGCTTCCAGGAGCATCAGTGGTGGAGAGGAAGGGACAGGGAAGGGGAAATGAAATGAAGGCAGAAGGGAGAAGGGAGGACGCAGGCGTGGCGGGCGGACGATAACCTCTGAGCATCTGTTCTCTTGTCTCTCCCTTCCTTTCTGCCGCCTCTTCTCCACACTCCCCATGGTTCTCCTGGGGCTGCTCAGGGTGCGGCTTCAGCGCTCTGGCTGGGGGGCTCCCTGCTAGCACCCCCTCTGCCAGGCTGGAGATGGGCAGGAGGCACAGGATCAATGGGGGCAAGAGCCAGGTCAGTCCCCGGAGTCTCAGCTGAGGAGCTTGTGCAGGCCCTTCCTGCAGCCTCCAGGCCGACAGCCCCAGCTGAGCTCTCCGTGCCCAGGAAGCAAAGGTCTTCACCCAGCTCCAGGCTGCAGGTTGGAAATTGGTGGGGGTGACGGGGCAGGGCCTTGGCCATGACTGAGGTCGTCCGGGTGGACTCCTCCAGCCTGGGAGGTCACTCAGAGATCCTAGAGCATCCCAGGAAGAGCTGGTTTGTGGAAGTCATGTAGTCCAAGCCCTTCATGTTACAAATGGGGAAACTGAGGCCCAGGGAGGGGAGGTAGCCTTCGTAGGGTCACAGGCATTTAGGAACAGAGCTGGGGCTGGAATCTGAGCTTCCTGACTGCCAGCTCTGGCCACACACACTCGGTCCCTCTTTCCCTTCCTTCCTGCCTGCCTGCCTTCTTTCCTTAGTTTTTGCAATATTTTCCCCAAATGCAATAACATTTTTCTTTAAATAATCACTGTTTAAAACATACTAAAATACAAACAAGCGTAAAGAAGAACACAAAAGTGCTGTCACCTTGGAGGTTAACATTTGTTATGTTTGGGACATAGGGTTCCACAACGCGTCACGCGTGCTTATTCCAAAGGTGGGCTTCATCTTTGCACGCTGGTTTATATCTTGCCTTTTTCTTAAAGTCAGGTTTATTGAGATATGGTCAACATACAGTCAAATTCTCCCTTTTTTAGTGAGAATACAGTTCTCTGAATTTTGACAAATGTATTTTACTGTGAAAATACCCCCCGAGTCTGTGTCACAGGCATCTTGCTATGTCAGTGGAAATAACCTAAGTGCCCAACTCTAGGGGATTGGTTTTTTTTTTCTTTAAAGGGAACGGTTTTGCCAGAAAGTATCTAACCAGGGCCCCGGGGGTGGGCACGGAGGTGGCTGCCCACCTTTCACTCTGCTGAACAACGCTGCGATGAACGTCCTCCTTTCTGTGCTTGGGAGGGGCCTGGTCCTCAGTGCAGGGAGGGGTCCAAAGGTGGCAGAGTGTGCCTCTGTGCCCCACCGGGCCCAGCACCCTCCGTCTCACTAAGCCCCCGCCCTCCCTCCCTCTCCCCCCACGTAGGGAACAGGCTGGACGAGGGCTCGGACGTGGAATCGGAACCCGACCTCCCGCTGAAGCGCAAGCAGCGCCGCAGCCGGACCACGTTCACGGCCGAGCAGCTGGAGGAGCTGGAGAAGGCCTTCGAGAGGACTCACTACCCGGACATCTACACCCGCGAGGAGCTGGCGCAGAGGACCAAGCTGACCGAGGCGCGCGTCCAGGTGAGGAGGCGCCCGGGGTGTTCGTGCTGCAGGTATATTCCAGAGACTGGGGTTGAGAAGGTCGGGGTGGCCAGGGTCAGTGAGTTCAATGCCCCCTGGGGGGTTTCCAACAGGTGGTCCAGGGACCATGTAGACAAGTGATGCCACCGACAGCCGATGCAGAGTTAGAGGGCAGCAAATGTTTGTTGACTGACTGACTGAATGGTGGACAGCTCAAGGGGGAGAGAGACAGGGAGAGAAGAAGAGGGAAAGGGTGGGAGGGCAGAAAAGGGAGAGAGGGAGGGAGGGCATTAGTTCAGCCAGAAGAGAGGCTCAGGGTGTATAAAAGTCTTCAAATCTCTGATGAAGGGAGGAAGGGACAAGAATAAGCCTAGCTCAGATGGGAAATGAGCTTCCCGTTGTGGGAGGCATGCAAACAGAGTAGGCGGGTAAACAGAGTAGGCAGGTAAACAGAGTGGGCAGGCACACTCCTATAGGTTAGAGCATCGGGGCAGGGTGGGCAGACCAAAGACCTTGAACATCACTTCCACGGCCTCAGTGAGTGGGAAGGGAGAATGGAGAGAGAGCTACAGCCCACGGGGGGACAAAGGACTGCCCCCACCCTGCCATGGGGGAGCCCCATTGCCTCCCCTCCCCAGGCCGGGCTCTCAGATTCCACAGGGCCTGCAATTCCCAGAGTGCAGGAGGGTCTCCGCGGGCCTGGCTGGAGAGGGCTGAGGCTGGGCAGGGGCAAGAAGAGGTGGGACAGGTCGTGATGAACAGCTCTTGGGGGACCGTTCCTGGCTGTCCTTTCCACGGACGAGGGAGGCGGGTCTGCAGAGCAGCCGCCCCAAACCCATCTGGGGGCACCTCCATCCCAGAGGACCAGCCTTCGTCGGGCCCCCACTCGGTGCCAGCTGCAGTGCTCGGGCTTCTCCCGTGTGACCTGGTGGAAGCTCAGACCCCCTTGTCAGGTCGGTACCAGCCCCTGCCCCACGCCACAGGTGCAGAAGCTGAAGCTCAGGGACGCGACGTGCCCAGGGACGCGAGCTGGGTGGTGGCTGAGCTGGGCTGGCAGCCACCAAAGCCCACGTCCTCTCCACCCTGGGGAAGGAACGAGTTGACTCAGAACCTGGGATTTGAGAGCAATAGGGACAATCCCAGAAGCAAACTGGTGTCTCTCCGCACTCTGGGAACCAGCGGACGCCCCTCCCCGGAGTGGGGGCCCTTTGCTGCCATCGAGGGAGACCCCAAGGGGCAGGCGGCAGCAGCCAGCTCATCTCACTGCCTCCCCTCCTCTCCGAGGTGACATCCGAGCCTGCCCCAGCCCCGGGCTCCCCCACCCCATCCTCCTGCAGCTGTTCTCCGGCACATTCCTGGGCGCTTTCTCATCCCCACGTCTGGCGGCCCCTGAAGTCTGACCGCTCCTTGTAAAATCTCCTGGCTGTCAGGGCAGTGCTTTTATTGGCCCAGGGGACCTAGAAACAGGTGCCACTCAAGGTCCAAGGAGGGAGGGGTCTGGGAAGGGAGCCGTGGCCAGAGCCCAGGCAGATCCATGGTGAGCCGGGGTCCTGCCTCCCGGTGACGCCCTGCCACGCCGTGGGCTTCCCCAAGCAGGGACGGGCCTCTCTCCTCAGACTAGCAGCTCCCCAGGGCAGGGCAGGGCCTCCCCCATCAGGCCAGAACCTCCCCCATGGCAGGGCAGGGTCTCCCCGCTTAGCCTGAGGGCTTTCTCAGTAGAAGAGGGAACAAAAACTGTGGAGTTTTTAAAGAATGAACAAAGGCTGACCCAAAGAATTAAGAACATTGAGCCTGGGGAAGGAGAAACTTGAAGAACAGGCTGCTCCGAGAGCCCCTGAGGGACCAGGGCCAAGCGGGAGCATCTCGGGTTCAGCATAAAGGTCTGTAGGAAGAGAGCTCAGGACTGAGAGCATCTGGTCCCTGCCTCTGGTCAGCTGTGTCACCCTCAACAGGTCGCCTTCCTGTCCTGAGACCTAGTCGCCTCTCTGTAAATAAGGGACGGAATTTGACGATCACTATGACCCTTAAAGTTATAGGATCCTTGCTTATTGACAGTCAGGGATGCCTGGTAAGGTGATGAGATCCCCATTACCAGAAGTGTTCAAGCAAAAGCACAATGTGCAGTTGATCAGGGCCCTGGGAAAGAGGATTCCTACTGTGGACGTTGGGGCAGGGACCTCAAAGTCCCCCGAGCACTGCTTACACGGTCTGGCTTTATACTTTTGAAGTCGTGATCTCTGATTGTAAGAGTTCATGCATGGTCCTGGGATTTTGCAATCCTGACATCTCATCTCAGTGGCCCTGGGAGGTGGGTGGGTTGGTGGAGGGGTTCAGGGTGGGCTCGGAGCGTAGGTGTGGATTCCACCCCATCATTCACCCTCTGTGCCCTTGGCCTCCTCACCTGGAGAGTGGAGATGATAATAATAGGATCTACTTTGTTCTGAGGATTCAATGATTACGTGTAAAAAGAAAAAAAAGTTAGGAAGTACCTGGCACACAGAAGTGCCAAAATAGGGGGCATTGTTATGAAAACTCCACCTGTCCCTGGCAGCTCCAGTTCTGGCCACCCTTGCAGCTCCAGGTTCGTTCATCTGGCAGGCGTTTATTGAGGACTTACTATGTGCCCGGTGCTGTTCTAGGCACTGGGGATTCAGCGGGCAAACCCCCTGCTGTCCTGAAACTGATGTCCTGATAAACCCATGAGCAGGTAAACGTTATGTCAGGTGGGGGTCCGGTAACCACCTCCCTCTGGCTCCCTCCAGCCCTGCTCCCCGACAGGGGAGCCTCCCCTGGAAGCCTGCTGGGCATTACAGGGTGCTTGTGACACCCCAGCCTCAGCCAGCAGAAAGCCGGAGACATGTGGAGGGTAGGGAAGGGGTGTCAGGCAGGAGAACCCATGCCTGGGGCCCCATAACTCCTTTCTCTGGAGGAATTTCCATTTTTAAACAGCTGGCGGTCCAACCCCAACCTCACATATATTTTCCTTAGAGGGGAACAGATCCACTGTGTCCTGAGTGCCACAACCCTGCGCCTGTGTGTTTCTTCTAGAAACAAAGGCCTCAGGGCTGGTAGGTCCCGAGGTCACCCATGGCACCCCCCACCACTGCCTGTGAAAACATCCCCATCCTTCAGCCGATCAGTGCCAAGGGACTAGTGTCGTCCTGCACCTCTTTGTGTCCTCGCCCTAATCCAGAACCCTGCTGTTTGCACCAGAGGGACCCGCGAACTAGCAACTGGCACTGAACCTTCGAATCGCACTGGATGGCATTTCCGGCACATTTCTTACGTGCCGGGCACCATGCTTACTGCTCTACATACCTTGTCTTCACCCATCCTCGCCATAACCCTAGGAGGCAGGCGTGACTTTTCTCTCCATTTTGCAGATGGGAAAACTGAGATTTAGCTAAGGGAAGTGAACTCTTAAAGACACAGTAAGGGACCGTGTTGGAACTTGAACCCAAGTCTGTCTGCTCACGTTCTTTTCCTCCGTGCTGCGTTAAGAGAAGGACCAGGTGAGATATTCAGCCCAGTAAACAGCTGGCACCAACGGTGCCTGCTCCCAGGGCTGGGTGTCGAGAGAAGGATCAAGAATGAATAACAAAACCCAGCCCCTGCTTCCAAAGAACTCAACCCCAATCAGGGGTTCCGGGTGGGATGCCGAGGCCGCCACTGTCCCTCTTGGAGCCTCCATTTGCCCATCTGTAAGTGGGCAGCTTGCTCTACATGCCGGCAAAGAGCCCTCCTGCCCAGCCACCTCTGGGTCTCTGGCGGGGTAACAGTTGCACGCGGCCAGTGCTGTTCCAAGCACTTTGCTTGCATTAAATACTAACTCGTTTGAGGTCTGGAACCACCTGGGAGGTGGATGTAATTAGCTCCATAAGGGACAACGGAATTTTCCCATCTTAGCAAGGAGTTAGAGGCAGGATTCAAACTCAGGCAGTTGGCTCCAGAGTCCCTGCTGTCACCTATCATGTCACACTTAGTGAGAAGGGAGGTGCTTGCTGGGATGGAAGCAGTCCCAGGGAAACAGGATAACAAAGGAAGAAGAGGTGAGAGAATTGGCAGCAGTGGCATGCCGCCTCCTCCAGGAAGTCCCCCTGGATTCTGAGAGGTGAAGCTGGAAGCCCCTCCTCTGACGTCCTCAGAGAACATTGCACATCACCCGTCTGAGCTCGCTGGACTGAAAAGCAGCCGTCATGTGCCCAGGCAGCTTGAGGGCTGGAACTGTGTCCTGTCCGCCTCTCTGTCCTCAGTGTCTTGCTTGGCACAGGGAAGAGTTCCAGCAAAGGTCTGAGATGAGGAGGAGGTAAAGAGAGAGGGGAGGAGTAGGAAGAGGAAGGAAAGGGAGGGAAGGAGGAAGAACGCCTCGGACTCTAGCCAGTGCTCTTTAGGGAAAAGATGACCCACACCAGGGAGCAGCTGCCACGTAGCTTACGCCATTCCCTGACCCACTCCAGGATTTTCGCCACATTTGCGTATTGTCCATACTGTTACTTGCTTTGTAATGAAATCAGTGTGTTCTAAAATAAAAGTGCACATCACACCTGTAAAGAAAAGGCAGCTGTGAAAAACATGCACAAGAGAAAACAAAACAGCGTGATTAAATGTCACCTGCAACGTCCTCTGCTGTTCCAGAGGGAGGTTAGCAAGTGTTGGAAAGGCGCTAAGGATGCTTAGCGCCAAGCTGAGACCTCCCCTTTCGCAGCCCGGCAGGCCCGGAGGGGAATGACTGCCTCACCCCCTGCACAGGGTGATTTCATGTCTGTATCACTCACCATCGGGATGTGAGTGCTGGCAGGAGGCCCGCTCTTGGAAGCACTGAATCAGTATAGAGACCCCCGCCCCCGCCCCAGGAGGCTGGGCCAGAGCTGGGAGACAATGCCCCTTCCTCATGGGGCTCCCGCACCCTCCGTCTGACCAGCCAGCCTCCCCCTAGCCCAGGAGCCCTGGGGATGCCTTCGGGCCTGCGGAGGTGGGAGAAGCCAGGACTTTGGGTCTATCTGGGAGCCAGCCTCTTCCATCTGCTTTCTGTGTGACACCTAAGTCAGAGCCGGCTGCTCTGTTCATCCAGCTGGGAAAGTGGACACTGCTTTTGTCACCCAGGAAGGACCTAGCAAAGACCAACGACACCAGGGGCACATGAGCCCCCTCTGCCCACTTCAGACTGCCCCCCAGCCCCCTGTCTCGGCAGACGTGCTCCAGAGGGGTGGGGGGCTTGGGTGATCTGATGCCAGGGGAGGGTGGGGCCTTTGTCCCACCAGGAGGGGACCCCACCTGAGCCTTGTGGCCCCAGCCCCAGCAAAGATACCCCAGAGCCGGCCGGGCGTGGTGGCTCACGCCTGTAATCCTAGCACTCTGGGAGGCCGAGGCGGGCGGATTGTTTGAGCTCAGGAGTTCGAGACCAGCCTGAGCCAAAGCAAAACCCCCTTCCCTACCAAAAAAAAAAAAAAAAAATAGCCAGGTGTGGTAGTGGATGCCTGTAGTGGATGCCAGCTACTCAAGAGGCTGAGGCAGGAGGATTGTTTGAGCCCAGGAGTTTGAGGTTGCTGTGAGCTAGGCTGATGCCATGGCACTCTAGCCCGGGCAAAAGAGTGAGACTCTGTCTCAAAAAAAAAAAAAAAAGATACCCCAGAGCCATTCATTCATCATTCATCCAATCATTAATTCAATGAGTCTGTTGAGTACTGACTGAGCACATCACAGGGAGCAAGGAATACACAGTCTCTACCCCATGGGGCTGAGGCCGGAGGGCAAGACACAAATAAACAGTCCCTGCTCCTGGGAGGGGACACAGCAGGAGGCCCCTCCCACCCCCTGAGAGAGGCAGGAACCTACCTGAACTGCCCTAGACGCAGCCATTAGGGGGTCGGAGTCAGGCGAGCAGGCATTTGAGCTGAGCTCTGAAGGCCAAGGAGCCAGCTGCAGGAATAGTGTTCAGGTGAGAGGGAACAGCGTGTGCAAAGCACAAGGGTGGAAAAGAGCTCCCTCAAAGCAGCCCCTGCTTGCACCCTCATTCTCCTCCTTCTCTGGCCCGTCCCAGGGAACTTGCAAATCCAGAGAAGCAGGCTCTGGAAAGTCAGACTGATTTACGTTTGAACCTCAGATCCGTCACAGACTACCTGTGTGGCCTTGGGCAAACTATTTGACCTGTCTGAGCCTTGGTTTCCCCTTCTGTAAAATGGGAGTGGGCAGACATGTGAAGCACCGGCCCAGTGCTTGGAGGAAAGGGAGACTCAGCGATGGGGGCTTGTTTTCCCATTAGTGATTGATAAATCCCCGTGTGTGTGTGTGTGTGTGTGTGTGTGTGTGTGTGTGTGTGTGCGTGCGCGCGCGTGCACACACCTCCATTTCAAGGGGGCCCAGGCTGTGTAAGTGAACTAGGGCCTCAGTCTCCAGATGGAGAACTAGCTTACACCCCTGAGTGTGGAGGGTGCATCTCATTCGGGAGGGTTGGAGATGTGTGGCTTCCACCTGGGGGGCTTCCTGGAGGAGGTGAGGAGCAAGGTGTTCTGTAACAAGTATGGTCAGGCAGGTCAGGAGGCCCTCAGGGAAGGAGCAGCTGCAGTGGGAAAGAGCACTGGACTGAGAGCCACGCAGACCTGGCTGGGCCACCGACTCACCCTGGCCTGTGGACAAGCCACCCGCTTTCTCTGGGTCTCAGTTTCCTCATCTGTAAAATGGGGATAATGATAAAACCCCCCTCACTGGGGGTCATGAGGACAGAATCAGATAGTGCCTATAAAGTCACTCTGCAAACTGTCCCATGCTGCACGAAGCTGGGGTTTCCTTCCATGGAGGAGGATGCTGGCTGGATCGGAGCACGATGGCTTTGGAGACGGGTTCTGGCCGTGTTTCGGCTCTGCCAGGAGCCAGGCTAAGCGTCCTTCATTCTCTGCTCTCCACCCCGCAGGTCTGGTTCAGTAACCGCCGTGCCCGTTGGCGTAAGCAGGCAGGGGCCAACCAGCTGGCGGCGTTCAACCACCTCCTGCCGGGAGGCTTCCCACCCACTGGCATGCCCACGCTGTCCCCCTACCAGCTGCCGGACTCCACCTACCCCACCACCACCATCTCCCAAGGTGAGTGGCCCAGGCCCGCCCTGGCATCGCAGCAGCTGCCCTTCCTCCCTCCCCGCCTGGTTCTTTCTCTCCTTTCACTTCCAAGGGCTATTCGTACTTTCATGTGGGCAGACTATTAAGACAAAAAATTCACAGTCCTGCCAACGGGCCAGCTGGGGTCAGCACGGCAGCCCCCGTGCACCTGCTCAGACCGAGCTTCCCAGGGGCAAGAGCACACGGATCTCCTGGGGGTCTTGTTAAAACACTGGTCTGGGGCCCGGGATTCTGCATTTCTGACAAGCTCCCTGGCGATGCCCAGGCTGCTGGGCCTTTGCCATGCTTTGAGCAGCAAGGATCTGGAGCACCTGCCGGAGGGTGCTGAGCAGAGCAGCCTTGGAGGGAAAGAATATTCCCCAAGGACTTTGGGACCACGTAGAGCCACAGTCTTTGCTTTCTTTTAAATGACAGTGATATGAGTGTGTGTGTGTGTGTGTGTGTGTGTGTGTGTGTGTGTGTGTGTCAGGAGAATATTGGGATAATTTTTTTTAGACTATATTGGCCTCTAATTCGTGCCAATAAAAATTTACAAAGGGGCTTAAATAATTTTCCGGGACCTCACTTTCTTGCCCTGCTCTCTCAAAAGATCCATTTTCAGAGGGGATAAAAGTTGCCTCCTTCGAGGACCCGAGGAAGATTCCTCTGAGAGATGCCCCCTCAGGGGGAAGAGTCAACCCCCCTCGTTCCGCTCTGCCCTGGGCTGGCTGAGCGGGGCCAGCCCCCTGAGGTCCACCTGGGAAGGAGGCATCACTTGGGCCCAGTGGCTTGAAGTGTCAGATTCCCTTCCGGCCTTGGAGAGCGGTGGGCAGAGGGAAGAGGGTGAGTGGGTGGGAGATGCTAGGGGGTCAGAGGGGCCTTGGGAGGGGAAGAAGCTCAAGGCTGAGTCCCAGAAGAGATGGTGCACTCTGTAGGGGACAAGGGTTCCCACCCACCCTCCCTGGACCCCGTCCCATTCTGCCACCCCGCCCCCACCCCAGCACACACCAGAATCCCACTACCTGATATCTGCCGCACGACACCACGTCTTAAAGGACGGCAGGCTGCAGTTCTGGAGGCCGAGGAGAGAGAGAACACCCCCACGCCCCATCTCCGCTGTGATTCTTAATAAGGAGTTGAACCAGTGCCGAGGATGGCAGGGCCCCACCCCCTGGAAGGCTGCACAGAGGGGCCCCCACGGAGCAGAGTAGCAGCCCAGCGGCGAGGAACAGAAATGGCCCCAGAGTCAGGCTGTCCAAACCCTGGTCCCTCCACCCACCAGCCTGGCCATCCTGTGCCTCAACCCCATCGAGCCTCGGTTTCTTCATCCATAAAATGGGAACCACATTCTTGCTTCACACCTTCAACAGCATCTGTAAAAGCACCTGGTGTGGGTCGATGCTCACAAAACGGGACAGGCCTGGGTAGACTGACAGGAGTCCCCAACAAGGGCCAACTTTCAGAACAGCTGACACCTATTGAGCACCTACTGTGCGCCAAGCAGTGAGCAACAGGGTGGGTGTGTAGTTGTCTGGGGGTGTCTGGGATGTTGGCTGGCTGTCAGTCAAGGCCTGGCTGGGCCCTAGTGCCCTGCCCAGGAGCCAGCTTGTCTCACCCCAAGCAGCGTGAGAAGGTGGTCGCTCCCCTCCAAGGGACGGAGACTGGGAGGAGAAGGCTCACAGCTTCCTCCTGGGCGAGGCCACTGGCTCAGGACCTCTCTTGGGTCTCTCCGCAGACGGGGGCAGCACCGTGCACCGGCCCCAGCCCCTGCCGCCGTCCACCATGCACCAGGGTGGGCTGGCCGCGGCCGCCGCAGCCGCCGACACCAGCTCTGCGTACGGAGCTCGCCACAGCTTCTCCAGCTACTCCGACAGCTTCATGAACCCGGCGGCGCCCTCCAACCACATGAACCCGGTCAGCAACGGCCTGTCTCCTCAGGTAGGCGGCCTCGGCCTTGTGCCCAGGGTCCCTTCGACAGACGCCAACCAGCCCAGCCAGGGAGAGGGCTCCGGGGGACCCAGGGTGGCTCTCCACTGGGGAAGACAGGTGTCACTGGGAATTCACTGGTCTCCATGAAACCACTGGCTGGTGGGTACTCGAGAGAGTTTAGGTGGGAGGCGGGGGTGCCCCTTCCACCCTCACTTTCAGTGTCTGGAATCCACTGCCCTGGGTTTAGGTTCCTGAAGCTGCAGACCTGGATGTGGAGAAAGGTTTCCATAGTTCTTGCCACCCAGAAACAAACAGAGACTGTAGACGTGCTCTTGGCCCGACGGCCACACAGAGCTTGTGAAACAGGCCCGCGATCCAACTCGAGACTGTTCGGTCCCTGAAAGTCAGGCATGTCCCCGCAGTGCATTGGTGGAAGCCGTGCACCGTTAACTGGAGGAGGCTGACTGGGGTTGGGGTTTTGTTCTAGAACCAGGAGTCCTTCCTGGATTTAGTCCTGTGCTCCTGGCCTTTCACCAGGAGTGGCCAGTGTGAGGAAGGCAGGACCACGTCCTGTGGGTGCAGAGAACTGCAGATGGGGTTCTGGACCAGGACCTGATTGGGTCTTGGGAACTCCGTGCATGACTGTGATTGGTTGCTGGTTAAGTCGCTCATTGCCTGATGGTGCCGTGAAAAGTCATAGGACCTGCTGTGGATCAAGTCAGAAAGATAACGCTGGGGCTTATGCTGGTTACCGGTGGGTTTGGGACTCAGCCATGCTGGAAGTCCCAGTGAATTTGAGGAATGATGAACTCGTTTTTGTAGCTGCAGCAGACTCCAAAATATCCATGGGGAAAGGAATTAAATCCAAGACTGGTTTTACCCAGCATGCAATCTTCTGGGACACCCCTTCCTCACATGCGTGGTGAGAACGCATTGCATGCGACGGCGCAGACTGATCCGAACAGCTGTGATTTGGGGTAAAGGTGACAGCTCTGGGGTGGGTTTAAATCCCAGCTCCACTGCTCAGGGTGGTCTTCAGCAAGTTGGCATCTGTGAGCCTCATTTTATCCCCCATTAAGCAGAGAGTCTGTTACTAACCTTGTGGCAAGGGGTGCTTGCCCCGTGCAATGTGCAAACAGGTCGAAGCACCTAACCCGGAGCCTGGCACAAAGACAGACACCAGGTAATATTAGCTCTCCTGCCCTGCTATTGCCTGGACGATATCATTAACATAGGAAACCTGTTACCTAAAGAAAAAGCAGTCAAAGCGGGTCAGCAAATGACATCCTGTGGGCCACATCCATCAGCTACCTATTTGTGTAAAGAAAGTTTTATTGGAACACACCAGTCCCTCTGTTTATGGCTGCCCCTGAGCTACAGCAGCAGAGTTGAGTACTTCCAAAAGAGACTATATGGCCCACAAAGACTAAAATATCTACTATCTGGTCCATACAGAAAAGAAATTGCCAAGAATGTTAATTCTCTGCTTGTCCGGGTTCCTTGGTGTTTGCCTCCATTAATTTGTGTAGTTGAGGACGAGTTGCATTTTAGTTCCACCATTTGCTTATAGGGAAAACCTCGAGCAAATTCCTTTTCTTCTGGATGCCTTGATTTTCTCATCCATGAAATGGGGATCATACCAGCTCTTACCTCTAGGGTTGTTGAGGATTAAATGAGATAATCCACCAAAAGCACTTAGCTCAGGCCTGGCACAGAGTGAATGCCAGAGATCCCAGTGGTGATGCACCAAACCTTCTTGGGGCCCACATTATAGGGGTGATGCCGCTGACTTGGCTGACCTTGTCAGTCCCAGCATGGTCCTCACCAGACCACCCCACTCTCTTGCTGGTATCCCAGGTGGAAAAAACCCTACGCGTGTAGTACAGCCTGTAGTCCAAAATATTTTCCCAGTGGAACCTAAGTGACGTCTTTGGGGTTCAAGGTCATGCCGCCATCTCATTAGTGCTGGGGGCTAACTGGCCAGGCCTTCCGGAGCCGAGACGGGAGACAGACACAACAGCATCTCCAAGCTGGCTGGGTGAGGACCCTGCAGAGATCCAAGGTGTCCACGCCTAAGGATGTGGTCCAAGCCTGGCCTGGGGGTACAAGATGAGTTGGGAGGAGCATCCTTGGAAAGCTGAAGAGAGGGACTTTGAGACTGTGCGGCCAGCCCCTTACTTTTCAGACGGGCCCCAGTATGCACAGGCGGGGCCAGGGCCGAGGGTCCTCCCCAGCCCACCCCTGTCTCATTGCGGGCTGAGCTTTATCCCCAAAGCAGGACTTTTGTCACAGGGCAGAGGCGAGCCTAGCAAATAAGGGGCCCCAGGCCTGCAGAGCGTGGGGGATGGGATTCAAGGGGGAAGGGGGAAGAAGAGGAGAAACTGACCCAGGGGTGTGAGCAGTCAGATTAGGGGGGGCTCTTCCCCCTGGTTAGGAAACTTTGGAGTTGGATGTCGAGTTTTCCATCCTTGCCTGGAGTTCCTGAGTTGGACCCTCATCCCTCCGCCCAGCCCAGGGTTTCCCTGAAACTAAAAGCGAGAGACCCTCGGGAGGCCCCCCCCAACCCCATTCCTCACAAGAGGCTGACATGATGAATCGGGAGGACCTCAGAGGCCCGCCCAGAGGTTCCCACCAAAGGTGTGAAGACAGATGGAGGGTCTGACAGGGGCAGAGGGGCCCAGGAGGTGAGCAGCTGCCGGAGGAGGGCAGATGCGGGGCAGTGGGGGCAGGCGTGTGTGCTTCCGTGTGTGAACCTGGGGCTGAGGGTCAGGCAGGGCGCGAGGGGGAGGGTGCCTCTGGGTCTCTGCAGGAGCTCCCGGCATTGCCAAGCTCCCGCGCCAGGTCTGCTCCTCCTCTGTCTGGGCAGGAGGACCTGCCATCTTCAGCACACCTCTGCGGTCTTGGGAGGTGCGGGGCCGGGGTTTTCTGCTGAGCCGGGATCTGTAGGGAGACGACCTGTAGGGACAGATGCGCTTCCAACGTCCTCTCCCCTCAACAGAAGTGGCTTTCTCTGCAGCTCACCTGGGCAAGCAGGAGAGGGAAGGCTTTCCACCTGGGCTGTGGGGTTGGCACGCCATCCCTTTACACAGGACGGCAGGTCCCTGACACGTCGCCCGATGGCTTTGGCTCTCGAAACTCAAAGGTGTTTTTGTTCTTACAGAAGCCTCTGGGGGCTGAGGTTGGGGGCCGTAGAGAGCACCTGGACAGACTGGGACAAGCAGGCCACTGGCCGGCGTGCTGCTGCCGTGGGAAGACCTGCTTCCCCGGTGGGTTGACCCAAGTCCCTTGTCTCAGACCCAGCTGGGCAGTGGGGGCTGCTCGGGACCTCCGTGGAGAGACTGCCCGGCGGCATTTCACAGAAAAGCCATCTACTCATCTCAGCTCTGCTGTCCCTGGCTCTGAGGGGGTGACTAACATAACGGTGGCTATGGAGTGCCTCCTATGTGGCATTCTGCTGTTCTAGGCACTTGGGGTAAATCAGGGAACAGAGAGAGAGGAAGCCTCCCGTCCTGCTGGAACTGACAGTACAACGGGGCAGACAGAATAGACAAAATTAAAAAGCAAGTCGTGCAGCATGTTTAATACCAGTGTCGACAGGGACAGGTAAACTTTCCGGAGCCCCTAGGACATTCACACCCTGTTCTGAGTGTTTCACATACATTAATCCACCTAGAGGGTGGAGCCAGGATTCAAACCCGTGTCTCTAGAGCCCGAGATCTTAACCACTCATTTTGTCTTCCCCATGCTCAGAAATGCCCACGCCTGTGCTCTGCTTTTAGAGTTTGGCTGGCAGCAAGAAGGGAGGCCAGCCCCTTCAGCTTGGTGGAGGAAAGAGCTCATGCAACCCATGTCCTGGATGAGAACACTGAGGCCAAGGACCTCAGGTTAGAGGCCAGAGGGCAGAGCCGGGTTTTACAGGCAAAAACCTTTCGAGAGGTTCACACACCTTTGAGGGGTGGTTCCCTCATCGTCCTCCCACCCCTCAGAGATCCAGACGGATATGATTAGGCATCAGGCGTGTGCGCATCCCTGGCTCTGTGCCCCGTGCTTCCTGAGAGGCGCAGGGAACAGGCATCCCGCCCATGAGACCTCATTCCTGAGGAGTCCACGGTGAGGGCGCCCACACCCCAGCCCCCTCTCTCCCCTGTGCTCCAGGCTGAGGGCCAGTTACTTGGGAAGTGACTCTTAGAAAACAGCTAGGACAAAAGGAACCTTTTGTAACGTGAATGACATTGAGTCCTCTGGTAGCTACAGATCCACCCTTCATACCAGCCCCGTCTAGGAGTCCTGAGCAGGGCTCGCTCTTAGGGGTCCTGGGCAGAGATGGGAAGGAAGACACCGGGCCGGCCCTTAGGGATCCCCAGTCTGATGGGGGAGACAGCCCGTGTCCCAGGAGCTCATTGTCTGATGGAAGAGACGAACCCCTCGTCCTCAGACGCCCCCGTCTGACGGCAGAAGCACAGCTCTCTCTGGGAGCATCCTCAGTGTGATGCAGAGACAGGCGTCAGACAGTCACTTGGAGCTGCAGCTCCTACCAGCCGGGAATCAGTGGAAAGTTCTGCTGTTTCCAGGGTCCTTGGGCTGGAGGCTACAGGCAGGGTGCCCTGGCTGGGGGCTTCCTCAGGGCCTGCGTGGGGTGTCCCGAGTGGAGGAAGCTGCATTTGTCTCCCGACCACTTTCAGACACCAGCTTTATCAGAGGGCCCAGTTTCCCCAGATTTTCCCTAAGTCACCCTGTTGGGTCAGTGGCACCTGGACTCGGCGTCTGGGGGCTCCTGCCGCTGCATCGTGGGAGGGGACTTTCTGTCTTGCCGCTGGTTCTGTGCTCCTTCATGATGTCCCGCGTTCACCATCCCCTTTGTTCCTCTCAGGAGCTTAGAACGGAGGAACCTACAAAAGGGATTTATGTATTCCGTTTCCTCCCTACACCGGACTCATGAGACACATTCTCTAAGTGCTCAGTTAACCACCCGAACACGATCGCAGCCAACCGAGCCTTTCTGTCCCCTC